TCCACTCTGCAAGGCCTCCTAGAGAACAGCAAGTTACCCTTCCTAAGACCTCCTCCAGGGCTAAGTCACGCCACGGGTAGCAGAGCACAAGATGGTGGCATTTCCAACCTGAGGGAGAGGACAGGAACCCATCGAGGGCCAAGGAAGCAACAGGCCTATGTGCACTTCTCCAGCCCCATCCGACCAGCTGTCAAAACATCTCCCAGCAAGTCGAAGCCTAATGGGAACAACCTCCCAGCAGGAGCAGTGGCCCAGAGGAATATGCAGCCAGCAGCATTGAAACCCTTTCCTGGTGCTACAGCACAGAGTTTGCTGGTGTGTGGGCTCACGTGCCTGCCATTGGCCTGGAGGGATCTGCCTTTGCTGCCCCAGATCAGAAAATCCAGAGCAGAGGTCCATGTCTATATACCCAGAGGGGAAGACAACACAGACTCTGAATCGCTGAGTGAAGATGTGGACAGTAAGCTGAGCTCATTGAGCTTGCAAGATGAGAAGTGAATTAGTTCACTGGGAATTATTAGTGTCTGGCCTTAAAGAAACTAGCAATAGTCTCAGGTGTGGTTCTGCTGTATAGCAGTTTGGCATCCCTAGCATGTAACAATGGATTCTGTTCCCTTATAAATCTAATGATGAGGGTGGCGGGGAGGGGAACCATCTTGTGAGATCCTTTTTTCTAGGGTGTTCAGGACAGAGGGAAGGATTCCTGGGTTGTATCCCTAGCCCCCACCGCTGTGTGTCTTTGGGCAAGTCCCTTAACCTCTCTGCGTCTCGGTTTCTCTAAAATGGGGATAACACTGACCCGCTGCGAGGTTTGATTCAGCAATACTTGTAAACGGCAATCAAAAGTTGCTGAAAGAAGTGTTAGGAAACAATACCCCGGAACCCTCCAGTAATGGTCCAGAACGCCACATGTCAGCGTCGCTCCAGCGTTGATTGCTCAGTGCAACACCCGATCCCTATTGGCACATTTCTGATCTCATGCTGCTGAAGTCAGTGGATTTACAGGGGTGTGGTAACCTATAAATTCCCAGGCTGGCTCAGACCCATGGTCGACCTAGCCCAGTGTCCTGTCTGAGAGTGGCCAACACCATGTGCCTTAGAGGAAGGTAGAAGAACTGCTCCCTCCCCCCAGACAGGTGTAGAATAATCTGCCCCTGTGAAGGTCTCATCCTGACCGCTGATAGAGAGAGGCTGAAGCCCTGATTTTCAGAGCACAGCCCGAAGTCCATGTGCTCTGAGCACACTCAGCTGCTTTGAAAAGCAGGCTCTGTGCTCCCAAGAAGAGGTGGGGTATGCACAGAGCATCTTTAGATGTGCTGGAATGTAAAGCTGTTGGGGTAAATCACAACCTAGGAGGTTATCCTTTCTGTCATCTCTGTTTTTAAATGCCTGGGGGGTGAGCATTCAGGCTGAGCATAACCCCACCCAGACTAGGGGTGTTGCAGCAGCAAGGTATTTGATCCTTATGGCACTTGAAACGGGCATCTTATGTTCTTGGATGAGGGGGAATTAAATGGTTCTTGGAGCATTTTAAAAATTAAAACCAGGCCTCTGTTTTGCACACTAAGCAGTCCCAGCAAGAGAGAATTTGGATCAAGATTACCGGGAGTTTCCAGAACACATGAAAAGATTGGGGTGAAACCTCTTCTCTATTTAAACACAAGCAGATTCTTTTTCAGCTGAAGTAAAATGATTTCCTCAGGCTGGCTTATGCTCTTCTGCCCTTTCCTGCTTTAACAAGAGTCCTGGGAGACCTGGTTTATGTTTCATGCAGTGATGTGCAAGGTATTAAGGACACAAAATCCCACCCTGGAAGAAGGGAACGAGGTAGCCTGATGCAGGAATCTATTACTCAGAAAGGATTTTTAAAAAGGCTTTCACGGAAAACCCCACTTGAGTTCTGCCCTTGTCTCTGCCGTATTTCCAGTTATTGATTAGTTTGCAATCCAGAATAGCTCGGTGTGCTGCAGACTAGTGTGCTGGTGCCCTGTGACCAGCTCTCCAACATCTGAGGGGTCAGGGAGGGAAAATACGACAGCCAGAACTGGGCTGTGTTTGTTCCATTCTATTCCCCAGTCCCACGTGCTAAACTCTTCAAAGGAAGGACCGATGGCAAAAATATCCGTGCAGAAACCTGACTCTGGTTTGACCCAAATAAATACAGCACGAGAGCAAAGATTGCTTTAGCCTCAGGAAAGGAACTGCAAAGACTTACGCGCGTGTTTAACTCTACTTACGCCCACTGAAGCCTTGAAGTCTGTAAAGGCCAGGGGCATGCCCTGAATCTGCCTCCTTGGTCTCCAGAAGCCCAGTGTAGTAAGATCAGGCCCTGAAACATAAACCCTTGTATCAGAGGCCTGGTATGAGGCCTGAACTAAAGTGATGGTCAAGACTTTGCGAACATAAAGCAAAGTTAAGCTGTTAGCCAGAGACAGGCCCTGCTCACAGAAGTTGGCAAGAAGGCTGCTAATTGCATGTATACATGTGCCAGGATGGCACCAGAACATCCCGTTACGAACACATTCCACAGAGATAATGAGGAATTGGCTGGCCCATTCTAAAGACAGGGTCCAAAGGATAACATGAGGGATAGAGTTGTCTGTTCGAACCAACCTGTACCAGGAGACAGGCAGCACCCTAACACGCAGAGGGGTTGTACCTCAATGCATCAGGAGTGATGTGTGACTTATTTGTACCTGTGTATAAGACTGCACCCCTGAGGGGATGTCTTTGTCCAGCCTAGGGGGCAGTGGAGAATCCCGCCATGGACTGCCGGTCCATTGGCAGGGTGCATTTTTCTTAGTATTTCCTGTAGAGTCTGCAGGAAACTATTACTGTGCTTCGTTTGGCAATAAACCTGGCCGGGTGCCTTCGTCCCTTATCAGAGTCTGTGGTCATTGGGGGTTCTCCCGGGGCCTGCTGGGTCAGCGATCTGCAGAGCCGGGGCAGTACACAGAGGGAACACACGCACACAGCTGTTATCATCACTGAACAGAGCAGAGCAGAACAGGTTTATTTATTTGTTTTTAAATGGAAGTTCCCAGCTGTTCAGGTTGCCTTGAAAACATGGACCCACATATTAGCAGATGCAGTGATGCCTTTCTGCATTTACACAACAGGAAGAGGGTGTGCCCCATGCATCAAAGACCATGCAATAAATGTCCACATTGTTAACTCTTTCACTGCTTACCAAAGCATGTAGGAAAGGAGATGGGGGATCAGCGTATGAGGACAGAGATGGCTTGTCTATACTTAAAGCGGCGCGGCCGTAGCATGTACCAATGGATTCTGTTCCATTATACTTTGGAGGGCATCTCCCATCGGCACGGGTAATCCACCTCCCCAAGAGGCAGGGTGGTAGCTGGGTTGATGGGAGAAGCCCTCCTCTGACGTAGTGCTGCCGTCTACACCAGCAGTGAGGTTGGCATAACTGCATCGCTCAGAGCGACGTAGTTATACTGACAAGTTGCTAGGGTAGGCCAAGCCTAAGCTTTTGTAAGCTGTAACTGTCAGGGTTGCAGGGCTAGCTGCAGCTGTGTCCCCTTCCTGGTCTCCCTGAATGCACCCCCTTAGGCATCAGGCCTTTTGCTTCTGCCTATCCCAGGGGCAGACACCAGACTCTGGGCTACTGTACCCTGGATATCAATGGCCCTTACGCTGCAGGCCCAGCTCGGTTTGAGCACCTGCCATTCTGCCCATCGGGCGTCCATGTCCAGAGCCATGCAGTGATCAGACAGCCTTCTTACCCCCAAAGTACTGTTTATTTTTGCAGTGGAAACAAAGCATATGAGCAAAGAAAGGAGACTGAAGCAACAAACAATCTACATGTGTGTTTACAGTATCTACAAGCTCATCATTCCCTGAAGACAACACAGGCTGGCCTCGCGTCTTCAGATACCCCAGGGAGTGTCTATGTCTCTGCCTGGTTCCCCCAAACAGCTACCCCCACTCTTGGCAGGGGTTCTTCTTAAGCCTGCCAGCATCCTTTAGGTCTCCTGGGATCCTGTGCCTCTTCCTGACCTGGCACTGTCAAATCTTCACGTTTTTGCCAAGAAGTGGCTTATCTTGAGGCGTTCTCCCCCTTGCTGGTTGTTTTTCCTACCAGCCCCTGTCAAACGAAACCCATGTGTTTGTACAGGCATACCCCAATATCCAGACCCCGTTTTCAGTGATGATTGCAGAACAGCTGCACATCCACCCCAGCACCGGTTTTTAGATTGTGAACGCTTTAGGGCAGGGGTCTAATCCAGCTCTTTGCTTTGTGTCTGTGCAGCACCTCCTGCCCTGGGGCTTCTGGTCCATGACAGGGGCTCCTGGGTGCCAACGGCAAAACAAATACTGCTACGAACAGAATGAAGATCTATACACTCCCCTGCACCTGGGCTTGGGAGAACAGGGCAGTGCTGCCAACACTTGTGATTTTTCCATGAAATCTGCAATACCTGATTGATTAAAGCTCCAGCTGCTGGAGTCAGGTGATTCCATGACAGTCTCCACTTCTCAGTGTAAAAACGGAAGTTTCTAGCCTTCATGCTTGCCGAGGAAAGCTTGAAAAGACGACATGAGAGTGCACCCGAAAGGCTCAGAAACCAGAAGCCAAGGGGAGGGGAGGGGGGGGAAATCTTGTACTTTCCAACATTTATTATTTTTTTTTAAAAATCTCATTGGGAGGGGAGCCGCCCCCTGCTTTTTTTAATGTTGAGTGTTGCCGATCCGAGGGTACGTCTAGCTACAAGCCCCGCAGCTGGAGGGCAGACACTTGCTACCGTGATGGAAGAGGCTTTTCCTTTGGTGTAATAAACCCCCCCCAGGCTGTAGCTAGAAGTCTTCTACCAGCTGAGGTTGGCTTAATCGTCTGCGAGGGGGGTGAGTTTTTCACACCCGTAGCCAGGTGTAGGCGTACGGCAGGCCGGCGCCTGGCCCCCCACCTCGCCCCCACCTCGCCCCCCCGGGAGGGCGGCAGGAGACACGTGCCCGCAGCGCCAGGGACCAGCTGCCGCCCCCTCGCCGGCGCGGGGCGAGCTCGGGGGCGGGTCCCGCGTTCAGCCGCCGCGCGCGCTGCATTTCCCCGGGACCTGGCCGGGGAGCGGCCGCCGGAGCCCAGCCCAGCCCAGCCCGGGGCCATGGCGCTCGTCTTCCCCGCCATCCGGGTGCTGCTCGGCCTCTTCTTCCTGCTCACCGGGGCGGTGAAGCTGACGGACCAGATCTCGGGCGAGCTCTACCAGCAGCTGGTGAGTGCGGGGCTCGCAGCGGCTCCGGCCGGGCAATCGGGGCTCGCCTTGCAAAGCCGCCGCGGCTGAGCCCGGCCCGGCCCGGCCCGGCCCGGCTCGGCTCGGGGGCGGGGTGTTGTTTGTTGCAGGTCCCTGCGAGCAGCAGGTCGGGCTGGGGCCGGGAGCTGGGTCCCAGGGGGTCGCGCGGGGGCGGGAGCGGGGTCGGTTTCGTTTCCCTACCTGGGCGGGAAGCGGGCTCGGCAAGCGGGGCTCGCCCGGCCCTGCAGCCGCCGAGCGGCTCCCCGTGAGTCTAACCCCGGTCCAAAGCGGGGCGGGTGGCGAGCCCCGACCCCTTGACCGCTCCCTGGCTCTCGCTGGGACTCTGGGCAGCCGGGCTGGCAAGGCCTCCCCCCGCAACAAGCGAGGCTGTGGGGGTATTTCCACCTTTCCCATTGGCACCGTGCGTTTAAACCCCCCCCGCACCCCACTGCACCCCTGGATTGTGGGGCGGTCCCCCCCCAGTTGTGAAGAACAGGAGGGCGACTGACCCCGGGCAAATGAAAGTGCATCGCAGATGCAGGCCAGGGGCTCTTCCCCAGATTGTTGTTGGCGCTGTGCGTTGTGGGAGAGCTCAAGTCATGGGGCAGCACCCCGGGGTGCGAGGGGCTGGAGTAGGATCAGGGCCACAGAGTGAAATAGTTGTACAAACACGTATCAAAAGAGATCTAAACCTCGCGGCCTAACACTGGGCTCTGGTTACCTTCGCTAGGTACACATTAAACCCTAGGATGGCAGAACTGGCAGGGACTGGAGAAATTATCTTTGCTTCCAGCAAGTTTGTTTGTTTGTCTAACAGCATTTTGCCTGTAGTCACTTGCCCTGTTCCCTTGTCCAGTCAGTAAGTTTTCCCCCTGTTGGTTGTGTGGCTTTCTCACAGCAGCAGGGGAAAGCAAAGCAGAAAACAAAAGACGTATTTGCAAACCCACAACTGGTGGGGGCCTCAGGCCAGAGGTGGCATCTGAACGGGCTGTTACTGGCTTCAGGTGGGGTGGTCCAGTGGCGAGGGGTCAGGCGAACTGGGTTCTATTTCTCGTCTCTGTCACTGGGGTCGGATTTTCCAAAACATCTCAGCCCCAACCATGTGAACTGGGCACGGCATGGGCATGCAGATTTTCAGAGGAGCTCTGCGTATGGACTACGTGTTGGATGCTGAGCAATCTGGAAAATCTAGTGCCGTTCCTGGCTGCAGGGCAACTGCATTCAGCCCCCCCAGTAGGCACAAGGATCGGTTATAAACCACAGCTTGGGAAGTGCCGGGGCTACGATAAACTGATTCTACGTTACTTTCCACGTAAGGGTTGTTGAGCCTCAACCAGTGCAGTTATCGGGAGAGTAAGCGCTTTCCAGAGTCACTTAGGCACGGACTGTCCAGAGAGCAGCAGGTTGGGTGCTGAGCTTGGAAAATCTGACCCCAGATGTGGGTGCTGAGCACTTGAAAATGGGGGGGCCTGATTCTGCTCTCAGGTCCACCCGTGTCAATGAAGACTATCTCCATGGAGTTACACTAGTTTTACACCTGTACAGGTGAATGCAGCATCTGGCTCACAGCCCTTAATATCTGTGGCTAGTAGTGTGGGATTGTTATGGCAATTTTTCAGGAACTGCCAATATCGCTGTGGAGCGCCCTGCCAAGAGGCTTTGCAGAATCTGACAAGAGAAGAAGTAGTTAAATAATCTGCCAATGAACTTTCCCTGATATGACACACACCATAAATGAACTTTGATTTAAGCTGAGGCCAACAGGGAATAGAGGAGCAAAGAGCAGAGGTTTCCAGTTCTCTGTGGCTAAGGGGCAGTTTTTCCCAGCTGGCAATATTATCATAAGAGGAGAAAAGAAAAGGAGGACTTGTGACCCCTTAGAGACTAACCAATTTATTTGAGCATAAGCTTTCGTGAGCTACAGCTCACTTCATAAGAGGAGAGTTTTAGCACTGGAATGTCACCTAGAGCTGCAGGGAAATAAACTGTCCATATCTCAGCAGCAAGGCATTCTCTGCCACCTTGAAAAATTCCACCTGTAACCTCACCTGAAGCATTGATGATGATTTATCAGGGTCGCAGTACCTATACTCTCTGGCAGCACTGGTGTTGACTTCTTGCATAAGAACATAAGAACGGCCAGACTGGGTCAGACCAAAGGTCCGTCCAGCCCAGTGTCCTGTCTACCGACAGTGGCCAATGCCAGGTGCCTCAGAGGGAGTGAACCTAACAGGTAATGATCAACCTAACAGGTAATGTTAGTAATTCTTAGTCCTTATATAGCCCCTTCCATTGAAAAAGCGTGTAGCTACCCACGGTGAGAAGTATCATTGGTCCCCTTTTATACACAGGGGAAGTAATTTGCCCAAGGTGTCCCACTGATTTAGTGTCAGAGCTAGGGAGAGAACCCAGGAATCCTGGCTGCCTAAGCCCCCCACTCAATGCACTGTAAGAACCTGTATAATTAAAATGCCCTAGAGTGGTTGTGCGAAGGGTTCTTAACTGCACCCCCCACTCTCACCCCACAGAAGGAACCTCGAGCTAGTCCAAAAGCAGCCTGGAGATGCAGGTTGGAGCCGTGCACCATGGCGTTCCAAGCGCAGGGCTGCTAGGCTGGGACCAGCTTCTTCAGGCACAGAGGGCCCCCGCCCCAGGGTGGAATTTGCTGTTGGACTGAAAGGTCCGGCTGCCTGTTTCACAGCCTGGCTGGGCCCTGAGTGCTTCAGAAAGCCTGGCCGGAGGTGTTGGGGAAAGTGGGATCCTACGGGATGGGAAGGTGCTGGTCAGAGGGTGGGCAGAAGGGGGGATTTCAGGTGGGGTAAGAGTTTACTACACTGCAGGGCAGATTGTTGGTGCTTTACAAATAAATAATGTGTCCCTTCTAGGCCTAGGGCCTGATTTCCAGCAGTGCTGCGCCCGCGTTGCCCCGTCGACTGCCCATGGGGGCACCTAGTGCTACTGCAGACAGGCCCTTTAATTGGGAGCCACCCAGCTGCCTTTCTATACCTCAAAGCAAGGGATGCTCTGCTCCTTTCCTAGCCCCCTGTGGGCTCCAGGCTGTAGAAGGGGGCCGCCCAGCTTCTCTCTCCCAAGGACCATGCACTGTGGCTGAGCCCGTGCCGTGGGCCCGAATGCCCTGTCCCTGGGAAGGGAACCGCTGCGGCCCCATACCCGCTGACTGACGCTCCCTTCCCCGTTCCAGAAGTCCCAGTTTGTGCAGTTTGCTGACGTCTTCCCCCTGAAGGAGTTTGGCTACAAGCCAGAGCCGGAGCAGTACCTGCAGGTGGTCGGCTGGATCGAGGTGGTGGCCGGGGTGCTGCTGGCCTTTGGGCCGCAGCTTCTGCAGGAGATCAGCAACTTCGTGCTCACCATTGTCATGATCGGTAGGTGTCGGCCGCTGGGCTCCTAGGTGGAGCTGGCCAGTGGGGCTTGTTACGGAGAGTTCCCCGGCCCAGCTACCCCCTCTCCTCCCCTCCCACCAGGGGGTCCTGGCTTTTGTTGCAGGAGCCCCAAAATTGATCTTTTCTCCTCTGCGGTGATGCCACTCCGTCCTCCAGAGCTCCCAGCCCAGCCCCCAGCTCTCCGGGTAAGGGGCTAGGATTTTCTTTGGAGCAGTCTCTGGTGGGCGATGCCCTGTGGCTCCCCAGGGGCTGGGTGCAGGGTCCCCACACTATCCCCAGCCACTGGGGCAACGGCGCCTTGAATGGCAGGCTCTGCCCGCCTGAGCCCTGTTACATGCCTATGCGGTGGCCGAGCCTACGAGTGACTAACATGACCCGCTGAAAGACACCCAGTGTCCTGAGCCAGAGATAGAAAAGGTCAGTCAGGTCTCTGCTCTCGGCAGGTGGATTGCTTTCTGCGGGAAGTTCCCCAGGGGCTTGGCCTGGTTGAGGAACTGGGACTTCCAACAATTCCTTCTGCCCTGATATTCAGCCTAGATTTTCTGCTTCCTCCACCCCCACCCTCCATCTCCCTCCTATTCACACCTGTTGGCTAGCTCTCAAGCCTCCCCTGGCTCTTAATGATCACTGTCCAAGCTCAGCCAAACGAGCTCTTTATGTTCTGTCATTTAAATGCGCCACCCCCCCCACCAGCCCCTGACGGGTATAAATCCTCGGCAGCGGCCTCCTCCCCTCTCGCACCAAGTCTCCTCAGAGCGTCTCTGGAACGGGTCGGTGTTAATGGGGGTGTTGCAATGAAAGGTGGGCAGCAGTTTGCAGCATGCCAGCAACCTAAGGGTTAAAGGCAAGTGCAAGCACCCTTGCTCGCTGGAAATACAACTGAAGAGGGAAGCTATTCTCCAGGGTGAAAGGCTGCCATGTCCATCTCCTGTCCCTGGCAGGATTCACCTAGCTGGGGGCTGGCTGATAACCATGTGCCCAAATGGCCTGTCAGTTACAGGCCAAAACACCACACTCTGGCAGCTCAAATCAGGAAGCTGCACATGTTAAACTGGGGACCTTTGGCTTGCAATGACAGAGCTGACCTCAAGTAACCTGGCCCTGCAAGCTCCTGGGGCTAGCAGGCACACATCAGGTTCAAATCTAGCATGTTAATAGCGTCTCCCTGTCTGCCAGGCCCTGGGCTGTGCAGGTCAGATGGTGCCTCGTCTGTCCCGTCACAGGACGATGGACGTTAGATTCCTCTCGGGCCCCATCTAGCCCAGCCCCGTGGCCAGCACTGAGGGCTCCGTGCAGGGGATTTACTGCTGCTGTTTTGACCAGCTCCGTGACAAGGTTAATTGGAAGAGAGAGTGGAAAGCACTTTAGAGTCATGTTTGCATCCCTTTGACCCTGACTCCATGCTGTGTTGCTCACAGGGGTGTGGTCTGGTGTGGGGAGGGGCAACGGGGGCTTTATGTCCCCTCTGGGGATGCTGGGACCTGATCTGCCCCCTCCAGCATAAATTAGAGCATCCCCAGAGGCTGCTCTAAATTTACCGCCCCATTTGGACAGCTCCACCGCCCCAGAATAACAACCCCCATCCCCTCCTCAGCATGACCCTGGGGGCTGCAGGGTGAGCCCAGCAGGGCCGTTGTGCAGGCAGCATCCCACCCAGTGTCTGTCCGTGTCGTTCCCCCCCCCCGCCGCCCCATGCTGGGGATATTCCCCAGGGGCTGGTTAAACTGGCTGTGCAGCGGCTGAGCTGCCGTTAGGCTGCAGCAGGGCACAGCATGGGGACTGCCAAGGGGAGCGTTATCTGCGCCGGCAGCAGTTTCCTCGCACTCTCTAGTCTAGCCAAGGACCTTCCCAGAAATGCTGTGGAGGCTTGTGTGGTTGGTGATGGGGCGGGACCTGCTGGCCGCAGGTGTTTGCTGTTGCTGGCTGCCGCCAAGTCCCTGAGCAAGGCCGGGGAGCCACAATGGCAGAGTGGGAGCCGAGCCTGGGAACGTGTCCCCTTTCCACCCCCTGCTCCCAGCATCCTTGTCCTTAGGCAGCCGGGGCCGCTTCCCCGAGGTTCTCCAGGGGGAGCTGCGGTGGCTTCCCTCTCATGTTTGTTTGGCGCCCCAGCGGCGCTTGTGCAGAGAACAGTCCAAGCTAGCTGTCGGGCAGCTAATGCCGAGACCCTGAGAGATAAATCTCTGGCAGAGGAACATGAGGTCTGCCCAAACTGGAGCTGGGCCTGGCACCTCAGGGCCTGGTCAGCATCTGTGGAGTTCAAAAATTATCCCCCAAAGAAAACCCTCTGCACCTGATTCAGGGTGTTGCACCCTGCCTGAGTCTGCAGAGTGCCTGAGACCGTAGCTCCTAGAGGTGTGAATTGCCCCCATCCATCTCATGAGGTCTGTTGACTCTGAAGTGTAATGACTGCGGTTCAAGGCCAGGGGGCTCCCTTTTGGAGCTGGGTGCTTTGGGCTGCTGGTGAAGGAGTGTCTCTGACCTTTCCTTGGTCCATCCCCTGACTTCCCCAGCGTGTTTTTTTCTCTCTCTTCCCAGGTGCCATCTACACCCTGCTGGTGCTGAAGGAGCCCTTCTCCATGTGCGCTCCGGCTACGATCTGCCTGGGTCTCCTGCTGCTGCTCAACATACGAGGAAGGGGGGGCAGGGCCAAGTCCAAGTTTGAGTGACTGGAATGAAATGGGGGGCGGGGGTGCTGGATTGGCAGGAAATTATGTCATTCCCCCCGACAAAGTGTTGCAATGACATGGCTTCCTGCCAATGAACTGGCCGCTTATGCGCAGTACAAACTCTAAAGCTCCTGAGGAGGGACCAGCAGGCTGATTAATCCGGGGGGCCTGGGGTACCTGCTGCAGGTGTGTGCAGAGCGTGGGAAGCAGCTGCCTGGCTGGAAACTCTGCACAGAGGCTGGAAGTTTCTCTTTCTGCCCTGGCTTTGAAGGCAGCCAGGTGGGGCAGGGTAATTGGAGCTGGGTCATGGTGCATTGTGCTGGGACCTCATGGGGGGGAAGCTCTGGAGTGTGCCCCAAATGGGTAACAGCTGTGTGAGTTCCCACAATGGGTCCCCTCCAGCGTGACCTGGGGGGACTCCGGGGGGTCAAACTCCTGTGGCCTAGCGAGCCCTTCACCTCTCTGCCTATTTTGCTCTGTCGCTAAGAATCGTATCATGGCACCAGTGCCCCCATGGAGCTGTCTGGCCGGACCTCGGCGGAGGAGGTGGTGCTGACTCCGCTCTGTACGGGGGGCCGCATAGCGCTGACTTTTAAATAAAACCTCTATTTCCAGCGGGCTGCCTCCTGTTCTGCCCCCGGTCTGGGCCTCAGCATCCAGCGGTGGCTGCAAATGGGTGGGTCGCTGCCATGGACTGTGCGATCCTCGCTGCTGAGGAATGGGAAAGGTTCTGGGGGTGCTAACCCCATCCTCGCCCCTTGGTGGGCAAGGCATGTGGTGGAGGAACTGGGCCTCTCGGGAGACTCCCTGACCATGCCCTGGATGGGCCATGCCTGCCTGCTGGTCCAGCTGGGCCCAGGGGAGAGTGCAGGTGGGGTGTGAGCATAGGGTGGGGCTGGGCCCACGGGGCAGCTGGGTGGAGCTTGCCTGTGGAGGGGCCATCCAATAGCTGTGACACCCCCCCCCTTTCCCCTAGAAGTGGGGCTGGGCTCTGACTCACACCGGGTGGGAAGCAGCAGAGAGCCCTAGAGGTCAGAGCTGGGGAAAGCCCCAGTGCGTAGCTGTGGCCAGAATGATGGTGAAGGTTCATGAATCGTCCCAAGGGCCTGTTCTGTAGAACTGTTTAAGAAAAGACGTATGAAGGAGACAGACTGAATTAAGGTAAACAGAGGGGGTCTGCTGCTTGCCCCCAAGGACTGGGTTAAGATTATGAGTGGTAAACAAGAGGAGGAGGGGAGGGGAAATTAATGGACCAAAATTGGTGCTTTGGAAATTAGGCCTAATGGGTAGGCAGAAAGCGAGAGGCGGGACCATTCCACCCATCGCCCCTTTTGGGGCCCCTTAAAAGAGGCTTGAGGAGAAAGGAAGGGACTTCCACCACCGTGGCCGGGGCAGGATTTTTACTGCGACGCTCAGACCTTGATACCCCAGTGATGACACTTGAGCATCTGTGCTGCACCAGCAAGGACCCCAGCCTGCTACGTGCGAAATCCTGCTCTGTCTGCCTGGCCCCTGGGTGTCTTTCCATCCCCCATGATCATCCTGCTCTCCTCTTGGTTTTTCACCCTATCCTCGGATCGGCTGCACCGCAGGGCAAGAGGAGACAGCTCAGCCGGCTCTGAGGAAGCGCAATGAAGCAGAAGGACCTGCTGTGACCAACCAGGTGATGTCCCCAATTGGGGAGGCAAGCCAGGGCCCAGAACAGCAGCTGTCACGGCCGGCCTGCCAGCCCAAAGCATCCATTCGTAATTGATCAACCACCCTGTGTCCTGTGAACGTCAACAAAATCTGTATTTCCCCCCATCTATGCTATTCTATCTCTCCTCTCCTTTCAGCCTCAGTGTTTTGTCGAATGTGGGGACTGATGTTACTGACTCAAAATTGACTGGAACTACCCACTTTTCCAGCTGGGAGGGCTGTTTGGCAGAATGAGCCTCACCCATAATCACCCTCTCTAGAAAGAGACTTTGATCAGGTTTCATTATTTGTGTTGCATCATCTCTCAAGTTCAGTTTCAGAGTTTTGCCTTGTTTTGATTCTTTTCCTTTCCTGGGATTCAGTTAGTAAATTTCTAGCCTTTGGCATGAATTTCCTGCAGTGTTTGCTGAGTTACTGAGAGGCCGAGGTCTCCAGCTACTGCCTACCCTCCCCCCCCCCGCATTTAACACTGTTTAATGTTGGACAGTGACAGGATCATGTTCGTGCTTTGGGCCTGCAGCGTCCATCCAAATTAATACAATGGCGTGGGCTGTGCCTCAAGGCCCCTGCAGCCTAGTACAGTCGCATGCAAGCAGGGAGCCCAGCCTTTCCTGCCCTGCTATGCCATCCCCTGCTGCCTCGGGCTGGGGTCTGTAATGGACACGCCTTACGGTGAGTTACGTTTCTCTTTCCTCAGTGCAACTGAGGCTACGTTGGCATCAGCCTGAGGCTGTAGCATCGTGGCAAGAGTCGTGCCCGTGTATCAGAGATGTTGGCAGTGCTGTGGTTCTGTGGGCAGCAGAGCCTAGTGGGTCACTAGTGGTCAGCTCTGGGTTCAATGGCCTCTCCCTTGCCCCTGTAACTACATTGGCTGATTCACCCTGCACCCAGGGAGGGGAGGATCCAGCCACGGAGGTGGGGTCGCAACTCTGGCTTGGAAAGGGCTGTGGCTCCCAGGAGGGCAGCTGGCGACTACAGCAGGTGCCCGGGGACAGCACAGGCCTCCTGGTGCCTTGAGGACGAGGTCTCCCACAGCCCCTCCCGGGGGCTCTCGCAGGGCAGAAGGGGGCTCCTAGACCTTAGGTTGCTTGAGAAGATGCAGCAGGGACTGGTTTGGGGACAACCGCTTCCTGCACAAGCTCGGTCTAGCAAGTGAGGGCATGTGCGTGAGCTGCTGGCATCCCCAGAGCAGGCAGCGTGGCCATGGCTCGTGGGATTAGGGGGCAGTTGCTGGCAATTCGGGGAGGGACAAATCCCTGTCTCGCTCCCTCTGCTGCACCCCCACCCAGCAGCACTTAGCTTCACCCGCTGACATCCCCCCGAGCCTGGCTGTGAGGGATTCTGGCTGTGACAGGTGTGGCCCTGGCTCAGGATCCTAGGGGGAAGGGGGAGGACTGTTCCTGCCGCAGCTGCCGGGCTGGGGTGGCTCTCTGGGACTCCAGGCCCCTGGGGGACGCCTGAGGCTCAGGGCTTCCTGCTGGCTCCCCACCCCTCCATCACTTGTAACATTCCCCGCATTTTTCCCCAGCCCCGGTGGCTCCTGCTCTTACAGGAGCAGGGTTCACTTTCCTTCCTCTGCTGGCGAGTCTGGTGTTTGCCAGCCGTCCAGCAGGACGACTCCAGGGGCTGATACCCTCAGTGTGGGGCAGAGACGGACCAGGCTTCCCCACTCTGCCCCAGAGCAGGGCTCTGCTTGGGGTCTGAGAGGGCTCTCGGGTGAACCAGTTAGCCTCCTTGCTGGCAGAGCCAGAGGCCAAGGGCCGTGTAGCCCCAAGGACTGAGCTCCTTGCTTGGCCCTACCAGGGAAGGGTAGCAGCATGTTGGCAGGTGGGTCTCTGCTTCTCATCGGTCTTGGGGGGCATGGTGTGGTCTAGCAGGGCCCCACAGCTTCCTAGACCCAGGCATGAGCCTTCCCGTCAGCCACTGCAGCATAGGGAGTGGTTTGCTGTGCAGACGAGACCCCAGGGAGCAGACGATCAGAGAGCGATCGGCCTGTGGGCGGACGGCAGGTGAGGCAGAGCCGCTGTGGGGGTGGGAGCCAGGCAGCAAGCTGGAGCCTCTCCGACATGTGCTGGACCAACTGTCACAGGGCCAGGGCATGAGAGCCCCAGAGTCCCTGGGGGCTTGCTTTTGTGGTGAGGCATGTGTGTGTCAGGGCTGTCAGACTGAGAATATAGGCCCCGATTCTCCATTGCTCTGCCTGGGAGGGGAATCCACTCGGAATAGTGGCGCTCGCTTTGCACTAGTGCAGGGTTTCTTAAACTTCATTGCACCGCGACCTCCTTCGGACAACAACAACAATCACTACGTGGCCCTGGGAAAGGGGGACCAAAGCCCAAGCCCCGCCTCCCTCTGGGGTGCCAGAGCTCGAAGACTTCAGCCCTGGGTGGTGGGGCTCGGACTTTGGCTTCAGCAAGTCTAACACCAGCCCTGGCGAACCCATTAAAATGGGCTCCCGGCCCACAGTTTGAGAACTGCTGCACTAGTGGAAACAGCTACACCAGGAGCAGGGCAGTGGAGAATCAAGCCCAAAGGATTTGCCAGGCAAGCTCAGACAGCATGTGTCTAGATAACATCTGAGACCTCAGAGGAGGAGGAAATCCCTGCAATGTGCCTGATTCCCTGACTGGGATAGATTCCTTCCTGACCCCTACAGCTTACATGGTGGAGCCTGGGATTTGATTACCACCATCATCCTACCTTGCAGAGATAAAAAGGATGGGCCAAATCCTATCCACCTACTGAACCCCTGAAATGCCTGCTAGAGTCAGTGGGATTGAGAGTGCTCAGGATCTGATCTTGGGTTAGTGATCCAGCCTCAGCATTTGCCTCAAAGAACTCCTGCAGCAGGGAGTTCCACAGCTCGATTATGGGCTGCATGAGAAAGCAATGGGTTCATTTTGAAAATAAAAGAAGAGTCATCTATGCTTCACCCTGATGCTAATGTGTCTGAGTTGCCAGCACCACATCATAGCCCAGTGAGCTGCTTGGCAAACTGCTTCTTGGTCTGGTTTTCGCTGACAATCAAAAAGAATTATTTACCCCCTTCTTAAGCCTGAGACGAGTATCTGTGACTGGGGCCTGAAGGAGACCATGCGAGAGAGTCTCAGGGGCATAGGTGCTGGAACTAAGAGTGTGGAGGGGGCTGCTGCACCCCCTGGCTTGAAGTGGTTTCTATTATATAGTTTGGTTCAATGGCTTTCAGCACCCCTACTATACATATTGTTCCAGCCCCCGCCCTGCTCAGGGCCTCAGATCGGCACCTCTGACTCTCTTGCTCTTTGTTTCTGAGAATGGAGAATTAACTTTTGGGAAAGTTGTGGGCAGGACAACCTCTGAGAACCAGGTTGCCTCGCCCGTTGCCTCCGCCCCCACCCAGTGAAAAGGCAGCCGGGTGGGCTCTGAGACCGGGGGAACACACGAGGGGACGCACTCGACAGGCTCGCTGAGGCATTTATTCCAGAATCCCCGGGGGATTGCAGCCAGACCCAGAGAGAGGCACTGGTCCCCAGCTCTGGACATTTTGCTGCTCCTGAAATCCCCAGCCTCAGAGGAGAAACAGCCCTTGGGGGATGACACATCCATGGTCAGGGAGGGCTTTTCTTGGTGTGTTTCTACTAGCATTGATTATTCAGTTGTCAAGTGCATGGGAAGGAAGATCTGAGGTCCCGGACGACTGGAAAAAGGCTAATGTAGCGCCCATCTTTAAAAAAGGGAAGGAGGAGGATCCGGGGAACTACAGGCCAGCCAGCCTCACCTCAGTCCCTGGAAAAATCATGGAGCAGGTCCTCAAGGAATCAATTCTGAAGCACATAGAGGAGAGAAAAGTGATCAGGAACAGTCAGCATGGATTCACCAAGGGCAAGTCATGCCTGACTAATCTAATTGCCTTCTATGATGAGATAACTGGCTCTGTGGATGAGGGGAAAGCAGTGGACGTGTTGTTCCTTGACTTTAGCAAAGCTTTTGACACGGTCTCCCACAGTATTCTTGCCATCAAGTTAAAGAAGTATGGCCTGGATGAATGGACTATAAAGTGGATAGAAAGTTGGCTAGATTGTCGGGCTCAACGGGTAGTGATCAATGGCTCCATGTCTAGTTGGCAGCCGGTATCAAGTGGAGTGTCTCAAGGGTCGGACCTGGGGCCGGTTTTGTTCAATATCTTCATAAATGATCTGGAGGATGGTGTGGATTGCACCCTCAGCAAGTTTGCAGATGACACTAAACTGGGAGGAGAGGTAGATACGCTGGAGGGTAGGGATAGGATACAGAGGGCCCTAGACATATTAGAGGATTGGGCCAAAAGAAATCTGATGAGGTTCAACAAGGACAAGTGCAGAGTCCTGCACTTAGGACTGAAGAATCCAATGCACCGCTACAGACTAGGGACCGAATGGCTCGGCAGCAGTTCTGCAGAAAAGGACCTAGGGGTTACAGTGGACGAGAAGCTGGATATGAGTCAACAGTGTGCCCTTGTTGCCAAGAAGGCCAATGGCATTTTGGGCTGTATAAGTAGGGGCATTGCCAGCAGATCGAAGGACGTGATCGTTCCCCTCTATTCGACATTGGTGAGGCCTCATCTGGAGTACTGTGTCCAGTTTTGGGCCCCACACTACAAGAAGGATGTGGATAAATTGGAGAGAGTGCAGCAAAGGGCAACAAAAATGATTAGGGGACTGGAACACATGACTTATGAGGAGAGGCTGAGGGAACTGGGATTGTTTAGTCTGCGGAAGAGAAGAATGAGGGGGGATTTGATAGCTGCTTTCAACTACCTGAAAGGGGGTTCCAAAGAGGATGGATCTAGACTGTTCTCAGTGGTAGCAGATGACAGAACGAGGACTAATGGTCTCAAGTTGCAATGGGGGAGGTTCAGGTTGGATATTAGGAAAAAACTTTTTCACTAGGAGGGAGGTGAAACACTGGAATGTGTTACCTAGGGAGGTGGTGGAATCTCCCTCCTTTGAAGTTTTCAAGGTCAGGCTTGACAAAGCCCTGGCTGGGATGATTTAGTTGGGGATTGGTCCTGCTTTGAGCAGGGGGTTGGACTAGATGACCTCCTGAGGTCCCTTCCAACTCTGATATTCTATGATCCTTGGTGCACATAGTCTGCCTGTCTCAGCAAAGAGACCCCCAGAGGGGGCAGGAGTCTCCCATTGGCGGGGGTTCCATTCTCCCAGCTCACAGGGAGGCTGGCAGGGATGCTTGGAGATCGGACCGCTGGAGGAAATGGAGGTCCTAATGAACTGGTGCTGGCCAGTACAACATATTGTGTGTTACGCTATCACTTCTCCTTATGTATGCAAAGAAACCCCTGCAAAATGTGGCCCATACAGTGCCGTGAGCCTGAGTCTGTAGACAGACTGAAACTCCAAGAGGGATGTGAGCATCAATCACCATGGCGTGTTGACTCTGAAACCTAATGACAAATGCAAACAAACACCAGCATATTTCATTGCGGATCCTTTTAATCAAGAAGTCAGTGACTCACTATTTGTGAGTGGAGCTTGGTGTGGGTGGAGCCTGAATAGAGGATGGCTACTTCTCCCTCTCCAGCCTGACCTCCGCTGTATTGGAGGCCTTGGGGATCAGTTAATTATTTCCTCTCATGCTTCCCACTCACAAACACAGAGCAGCAGGCCTGGTATTGGGTCTACGATCATACATTGGCACAGTGCCCAATTGTGTGGTTTCTGGGCGCACACACCCATAGCTGGGAAGGGGCCCACAGGTTCCAAAAGGAAACCATCTAAGAATGTATTTCTTCCCTTGCGGCCAAGGTTCTCAAAGCATGTTATAAACATTAACTAACTAACCCGTGCAAACCTTGATGCTCAGGTGGGAGGAAACTGAAGTACCGAGAGGGGGACGTCACGTACCCTAGGTCACGCCGTGAGTCTCGGAACAAAACCCAGGTCTCCTGAAGCCCCAATGCTGGAGCCTTTGATGGAGCACAGCCCAATCAAGTGCTGCGCACGGATCTGGTGGGGCCTCTGGGTGTTAATTCTGAACATCACTTTGAAATGAACAAAACCTGAAAGGAACAGAAAGTCCAGCGTTGCTCTCCCTTTGCCGCTTGTTCAGCACAGCTGGTGAGTTGTGGAAACTTGACCACATGGAGTTGTCATGCTCCCCATCCATCCCTCGGGCTGCACTGCACTAAATACATGCTCTGCGGGCTCGTGTCCCGTGGGCTCTCCCACTGCGGGTCTCTGCAGGAGCCCGGTTCTCGGGGATTCCTGCTAATGTTTCCCTTGGCTCAGAGCCCAGGGGGTTCAAACCCCTCAGGCCATGATCCTTGCTCCCCCCATTCCCGTGGGATACGCATAATTCAGCTAATGTGATCGTTAAAGGTGCAAACAGGAGCTTAGTGAATAGGAACATAAGAACGGCAATACTGAATGAGACCAAAGGTCCATTTAGCCCAGTATCCTGTCTTCTGACAGAGGCTAGTGCCAGGGGCCCCAGAGGGAATGAACAGAACAGGTCATCAAGTGATCCATCCCCTGTAGCCCATTTCAAGCTTCTGGCAAACAGAGGCTAGAGACACCATCCCTGCCCATCCTGGCTAATAGTCATTGATGGACCTATCCCCCATGAACTTATCTAGTTCTTTTTTGAACCCTGTTATAGTCTTGGCCTTCACAACAGGAGCAGGATGGGGATTTTATGTCAGTATACTGCACTGGTGAGACCAATACTGCATCCAGGTCTGGGCTCCACATTTTAAAAAGGATGTTGAAAAATTGGCAAAGGGGCAGTGAAAAGCCACACAAGTTATTTGAGGGCTGGAGAAAATCCCCTGCAGTGAGAAATTTAAAGAGCTCCGGCTGGTTAGTTTATCTAAAAGGAGCTCGCAAGGTGACTTGATTACTGTGCACAAATAACTTCCCAGGGAGAAAATACCAGGCCCGAGAGGGCTCTCTAATCTAGCGGAGAAAGGCCGAACAAGAACCGGTGGCTGGTAGCTGGAGCCAGACGCGTGGGAACATAAAGGAGGTGCATGTTTTTAACTGCGAGGGTGAGTAGCCGTTGGAACGGGCTGCCAAAAGAAGTGTCGATGTCTCCATCTCCTGATGATCCAGCCTGGCTGCCTTTCGGGAAGAGGCTTTAGCCCACACAAGTTCCTGGGCTCAGGACAGGGGTAACTGGGCAAGGGGCCGTGGTCTGTGCTATGCAGGGGGTCAGCCAAGCTGATCTGAAGGTCTCCCCTGGCCTTTGCATCTAGGAATCCACACGGGAGTCGCTCATCTCCCAAGGTGAGCGTTGTTGTCCTGCTGGAGTTGAGGTCAGGACCAGTCGCGGTCAGGCACTGCCCCAGGGCCAGCCAGAGGTGCTAAGCCTCGTGCAGCTGGGCAAAGACACGACACCCTGTAACTTACAGTGGTGCATCTTGCCTGAGTAGTTAGCCACCAACAGCTGTAACCAGCGCCAGTCCCCAGGGGGTGAATTCTCACCAGGGGTGGGGCAGGTGATGCTGTTCCGCATCCCAGTACGGTTAGGAAGAAACTTCACAACTGCGAGAGAAAGGGGGGCTAGGACACCTGGGTTCTGTGTTCAACTCTCCTACTGCGTATGGGTGAGTCACTGCCCCACTCTGTGCCTCAGTTTCTCCACTGGTAAACGGGGCTAGCGACACCCTGCTCTCGGCAGGGGTGGGGGAATTGCAAGTGTTAATTTCTCCAAGTTCTGTCCCTCCTTTCCATCCCTGATCCTGCAGCAAGTGCTCTGTGGTTAGATTCCTGAGCCCCACCGCAGTCCATGCCAGCGCAGACCCTGGCTTGCACCCTCAGCTGCCACATTGCTCAGTCAGTCCGGCCCTGAGAGCAGGGAATGAAAGGGCCCATTATTGCTGCTGGTCACACACGGCTGATTCATCCCAGCCGGCACCAGGCTTTCCTGCTGGGCTAAGCACTCCGGGCTGGTGTGGGCAAGAGGACTGGGTCAGGGAAACAGGAACCCCCTTCACCTCCGCACAGAGTGGCCCCCGGTGCTTTGTGCCCGGGACTCTCTGCCTTAGCTGTTAGGTCCCATTGTTCTCATCTGCACCCCACTCCGTGCAGATGTGCATGACGTGGGCCAGGGGCTGACGTGGGAGCCAGGGCTGCGTCCCCACAGCCCCACTTGCAGTGCTGCTGGCCTCCTCGGACTTGGGGAAGCCTTAGAAGAGCTTTTCCTCGAGAAGTCCCCTTTTACAAGCATGCACAGGTGCCTTGCCCTGCCCTGCCTCCAGCTGCCACCCCATACCCCGCGACACCGTGCGGATTAACCCTTGACAGAGAGAGACGGCGCTCGGGGGCGGTGGAGATCAGACGTGCCACACAGCCTGGCCGGGCTCCTTAAAGCCTCCCAGAGACCTGGCTCAGCCAGACAGCGACGTGCAGCAGGGACGGGAACGCTGCCGACCCACAAGCCAGCCTTGCAGGGTAAGAGACCGGCTTGGAGCCAGGAACCTGAGCATCCCCCTTGCACCCCTTGCAGCGACATCTCATTGGAGGGGAGTGCTCAGAACTAGCCAGTTCTTTGGATGGGGCTCTCGGAAGAAGGGGGTGATTTGCTGGGGTAGGGCCCAGAGCCAGTTTCCCACCCCCCTTTCCAAGAGGAGCGACTGGCTAGGGGCTTTAGCAGGGCAGGCTGCTTTCCCCTCCTTGAAAAAACATTTAGCTGCCCCACCATAGCTGCTCTGGTTTCTACACCAGCCATAGAGCATGGAATGGCCTGGAATGGTAGAGCCCTGTTATTCCTAGAGATGGGAAAGTCCTAGAGATCACTGGGCTCCTTTTTCTGCCATGTGGGACAGGCCTGCCATTCAGCTGTGACAAACAACGCTTTTGGCTCAGCGCTGCAGAACCCAGTGGGGTAGCACTGTGTAAGAATGAGCTTTGGAATTTGTATCCTGGGTGTGTGAAGAGTCTCTCTCTCTCTCTCTCCTTGGCCCATCACTTTGCTGCTCTGTGCCTCAGTTTCCCCATTTATTCAAGAGGGATATTGCTATATCACCTTTGTAGAGGGCTTTGAGAGCTACTGCTATTGAGCACAACATAAGAGCCAGGGCGCATTATGAGGATCTATATTCCAAGCTAAGTGCCACTCCTGCTTAGTAATAAACAGTCTAATGAGAAAGCTTAAGAGGGCCAAATATTTTTTTGTTATCGAACTCAGTGCTCTGCCAGTGGGCTTGGAAACGGAGCTGGTGTATGCGGAATAATCTAACATGGGCTGTGTCATCGTGACATTCACAAGAGCACCAGCTTTTCGAGGGCTCTGCACCAACCGGTGGGGCTAGGTTCCCCGCCCCCGGTGCCGATTTGTTTGGAACTCAGCCCCGCTTGCGAGTGCCGAGCTCCCAGAAATCAGGGCCACCCAGTGTTCCTGGCAGGTCTCCCATACAAGCACTAACCAGGCCTGACCCGGCTTAGCTGCCAAGATCAGACAAGATTGAGCACATTCGGGGTCTGGGGGCAGATCCTCTACTGTTGTCAGTGGAAATTAGGAGCCTAAATACCTCTGAGGATCAGGGCCTTGGTGAGTAAATACTGACACTTAAGGGGGGGGATGATTTTGGTGCTGGTCAATGGGAAAAGGTCAAGGCAGCCTGAACTCTGGGGTGGCCTTAAGATCCCTTCTCTGTAGCACGGAGTGTTTCTGTGGCTGGGCCGAAAAGCTCAGCTCATGTGGTTTGAGTCTCTTGAGAAAATCTGCAGCCTTTCGTGGCTGTCTGTCAGCTAAGGGCGCCTGGCAGTGTCTCGGCCTCCCAGCGCGGGGCTGAAATGACTCGCACCAAAAAAGCCACAGCTTCCTTGTAACTGTGACAACCAGTCCCTGGCAAGCAGAATGTGTCTGGGCTGGGGAAGCCTCTGTCCCTCTCTCTCTCTCTCCCCGACTCCTGCTCATCTGCCTATTTGAAGCAGGGCTGCTGCAGAATAAGTCAGTCAGGCAGAGTCCGTGGGTAAGGACCAAACTGATTTTCTTACCACTCGGTCTCTTTGGGGGCTCTTTGTTGCATCTCTGGGGCTTTGTCTTGCTGCCTTTGAGCCCAGCCTTGGGGGGGTGTATGTGTGTGTGTGTGTGAGAGTGAGTGAGTGAGTGAGGAGATCTGCATGGCCCCCATGAATAGCCACAGAGCAGGGACAGTGTGAGCAGCAGCTTCCCGCACTCCTGCCCTGGGAGGGTTCCAGCTAGCCAGTCTTTCGGTGTGCTTGGCCTCATTGCTGAGACTGCTAACAAGGGGCCCAGCTAGTGTCCAGTGAGTTGGTGGTTTCAAAAGTGTGCGATGGGGGGAGACAGGAAACCTTTCTGGATGTCAGTAAGTCCTAGAGCTGTGCGAGCTTGAGGCAGGGTCACAGGGGCAGTGATTCAACCTCAAGCTTCAGGGCTCAAACCGATCGCCTGCAGGGGTCAGGAAGGAATGTCCAACCCCCTGGTCTCAGCACTCAACGAGTGGCTGAGTGCCTTTGCTGGAAGCTGGCCCCTCTCTGGGGCAGGGCAGTAGCTGCTGATCCGATCTGAGATGCTCGTTCCTTCCCGGTGGGAACGTAGCCCGTTGCTGTGGGAGTGGAGTGTGTGGCTAGCAGCAGGGCAGGGCGAGTGTGCACAGCTGAGGAACCAGCGACTGCCAGGCAGAGAGAAGCCAGCGCCTGGCTCGGCCGAGGGGGAGCCGCACTGCCCGGCTGGAGCAGGACGCAGGCAGGGACATTCCGACGGGCGCACATACGCGGCTGTGGCGGGAGTGCTAAGCCCCTGCAGCTGCGAGCTGGATCTGGGGCAGCATCTCTGCGGGATCTTCTCTCCGTGGCTTAGGCCCTGTGGCCCTGGATGCAGCTGTGCCTCTGACTCACGGCAGCTTGGGAAATCCCTCTCTCTGTGACAGCCCGGAGGGCTCTGGAGTGGGGCTGGGGATGAGGGGTTTGGGGTGTGGGAGGGGCTCAGGGCTAGGGCAGAGGGGTGGGGTGCGGGGGGAGGGCTGCAGGGTGGGGCTGGGGAGGAGGGGTTCAGGAGGGAGTTCAGGGTGGGGCAGAGGGTTTGGGATGTCGGGGGTGAGGGCTCTGGCTGGGGCTTGGGATGAGGGATTTGGGGTGTGGGGCAGCTCAGGGCTACAGCCACACAGAAGGGAAACTAGCAAAAGAAAAGAAAAGCAGAGGAGAGGAAGGGACAGAAAAAGCCCAAAGCAGCCACCTGGGGCTTCCTGAGCTGCTGCGGTCGCCCATTCACTCCTCTGAACTTCCACCCAATCGCCTCAGCCTGCTGCTGGCACCGCTCCCTTGGGCAGCCGCCCGCTGCCCAGGGCTCAGGCAGGGACGCTTCAGGGGAGACACCCAGCCCCGAACACTGGTGGAGCCAGACCCCCCATGCCCTGAATATTGCTGGAGCCCGGGCACCACAGGCCCATATAACTTGCTGCCCTGATCAAGTCAGACTAAATCTGGCTTCCTTTGCCTCTACATTCGGGGTTTTCCTTTGGCCCAGGGAATGGCAGAGGCTGAAGCTCGCTGCATGGATCTATGCGGCAGCTGGAAATACCTGCAGTGGAGCAAGGGCCTATCTATCCTTTCCACCTCTAGCCATGCAACCGGGCCTGGTATTTCTAATGCAGGGCCACTGGCCCTGGCATCTCGGCCTCAAGGCCTCTCCTGGGCCAGGTCACGGGGCAGGGAAATTACTGACACTGGGTGAACGTCTGCCTATCACCTGCTCTTGGAGCAAAGAGCCACTGCCGGACTAGGGGTCTCGATTGGGCTGCAGTCCCAGGGGGTTTCCCTGGATTGAAAGGGATGGAAAAGATGGATTGCATTGAGGATGTGCGGCCCGGCTGCTCGTGAGAACCACAGTGCTGAGCCTCCCGGCCCCTGCTCCGTCTGAGCAAGGCTCCGCCGAGTCGCCTCCTGAATGGTCCAGGCAAAGAGCTAAGGCTGGGAGGTGCTGCAGGAAGGGGGGGTGCTGGGGGAGGGACTTCAGCCAGCTCTGATGCCCCGCAGCCTTTCAGGAGCCAAGGCGTTGGCTTGGCTGGAGGGTGGCGTGGGGACGGCGCTGGCCGCGGTCCCAGCCCCTGTATCAGCTCGGCCCGGAGATGACCAGCCGGCGTTTGGATCGCATGCCTGGGAAAGAAAAAACTCCAACTCCCCAATGCTGCCGCTGGTGCCTTCCTCCAAACCTGCTGCCGGTGAAACCTGGCGCTGATTTCCCCTGGGACAATGGCTCTGGCTGGGTGGTGGAGGTGCAGGGCTTGGCCTGCTCTGGCTGGGGCCTAGATGCTACGGGGATGGGTGCACTGCGTGGTGACTAGGCAGTCAGATGTGCAGGGCTGGATTGAGGGATGGCTGGATGGACGGGAGCACGGATCCAGAGACGGACAGTCCCTTCCTCCTTAACCCACAGGGCTCTCTGGTGCGCCGACCGTCTGCCTTCAGACGAGCAGCGGGAAGAACTGCACTCGCTTGGTTGAGACGTTAACGGCCAACCTGTCTGTCTGGCTGTCAGGCGCCGGGCTGTGGTTTGAGGTTAGGGTTCTCTGGTGATTCCCCTGCAGCCCTGTGGCTGCTGACAGTGCAGTGATGAGCAGAGAGTCCCGTAGGCCTAGACAATGGTCTACATGCTGACGGGGGCTGTACGGCATAAGGAGCCCGAGCTGCTGTCCCGTGAACTGTGTCCCAGCTCAGATGCAGGAACCTCCTCGCTCATCCCGGAATGAGTCCTCTCCGGGGTCCTTTCGGGCTTGGCAGCCGGCTGACTGCCCCCTGGGCCAGCCTCCCTCCAGCGTCACAGGAAGCTGGGGCTCAGAGCCTCAGTGCGGCAGCCGGGTAAGTGCTGTTGCTCTCCAGACCCTGCTCGTCCAGCGCTGCTCCCCAGACAGCTCTGCTGAGGCCTGTGAGGAGCAGGGGTCTGGGCTTGTCTCCGGGCAGTCATGGCGCTGGATTGCAGGGGGAGGCGGAGACGCTGCCCGCTGAGAGGGGCTGGGGGCGGACGGCAGGTTTGACAAGAATGGGCGCTGCCGAGGGGATGACTCGCTTGCCCTGCCGGCGAAGGATGGGGGCCAGAGGAGAATCCAGCTCTCTGGTTAGCGGGAGTTAGAAGAGCATTTTTGTCCCCTTGGGTCCTGGGGCCTGGCTGGCCCAGGGGACAGCGATGGGGGCTGAGTGCCCAACACCCCCAGCCATGGCCAGTTAGTGTCTGTGTCCTCGATCTCTAGGTGCTGAGGGAACAGGCAGCAAGGATGGACGGGACCGAACCCCCCTGCCATCCCCAGCTCCCAGCAGGAATGGGGCATCCGGCTGGGGTCTGCTCTGCCCAGGGATCACATGAAACCTCCCTTCACCTGTCACCACCCCTTGTCTGCACTGCAGCCAGATAGGGAGGGGAGCTGCAGGCCGGGCAGGGATTTCCCCACGCCTGGAGCACTTTGTTCCTTCTGCAAAGCGTTTCAAACCCATTGAGGACACAGCTGGCTCTGTTCTGCAGAGAGCCGCAGGGTTAAGGGCCAGGTTCTTCCCCTTGTTCAAACAGGGATGGGCTGCCCAGTTCACATGGAGCACTGAGCATCAGTGTCGTGTGACTTCTATAAGTGGGGGGGCTGGGCTCCAGTGAGGCCAACGGGGCCGCGCGTGTGTGTGGGCAAATTCCCTGCCTGCCCACAGGGGCACCATTTCAGATGCTTCGGGGGGAGGAGGGGCATAACTTTAACCATGGTTCCAGGGACTACTTAGACAACTGAAAACACTTGTTTTTTGGCAGATAATAACTTACAATGCTCCTGTCAGATAATTTCTGTCTCATTCCTACATCAAGAAAGAAAATTTAATAAATATTAGACCCGCTCAGCTCTAATACTAACATGTTCTGACCTCTTGAGGCAAGTCACTTATGGGACAGTGGTGAGGTTTAAATCATACTGTCTCGTCGTACTCAGATTCTCTTACTGAAGTCAGAAGGGACCATCATGATCATCTAGTCTGACCTCCAGCACATTGCAGGCCACAGAACCTCCCCCACCCACTCCTGTGATAGACCCCGAACCTCTGGCTGAGTTACTGACCTCCTCAAATCACGGTTTAAAGACTTCAAGTTACAGAGAATCCACCATTTACACCGGCAAATGACCCATGCCCCAGGCTGCAGAGGTCTCTGCCAATTTGAGCCCGGGGGGAAATTCCTTCCTGACCCCAAATCCGATGATCAGTTAGATCCTGAGCATGTGGGCAAGATCCATCATACAGATACCTGGGAATAATTCTCTGTAGTAACTCAGCCCTCCCCATCTAGTGTCCCGCTCCAGCCATTGGAGATTTTTGCTACAGGCAGTCGCCGATGGGCCACATGCCATTGTAGGCAGTCCTGTCACACCATTTCCTCTAGAAACTTCCCAAGCTCAGTCTTGAAGTCAGTTCGTTTTTTTTCCCCCACTGCTCCCCTTGGGAGGCTGCTCCAGAACTTCACTCCTCTGATGGTTAGAAACCTTCACCTAATTTCAAGCCTAAACTTGGTGATGGACAGTTCCTATCCATTTGTTCTGGGGTCCACACTGGTGCTTAGAGTTTTAAATAACTCTTCTCCCTCCCTGGTATTTGTCCCTCTGATGTATTTATAGGAGGCAATCATCTCTCCCCTCAGACTTCTACTGGTTAGGCTAAACAAGCCAAGCTCTTTGAGTTTCCTAAGGTAGGTTTTCCATTCCTCAGATCATCCTAGTAGGCTTTCTCTGCAGCTGTTCCACTTTGAATTAGTCTTTCTTAAACATGGGAGACCAGAATTGCACACAGGATTCCAGATGAGGTCTTGCCAGTGCCTTGTATAATGGTACTAACACTTCCCTGTCTCTAGTGGAAACACCTCGCCTGAAACACCCCAGGACCGCATTAGCCTTTTTCACAGCTGCATACCACTGATGGTTCTTGTTCATCCTGTGAACAACAAATAGACCCAGGTCTTTCTCCTCCTCCTCTGTCACTTCCAACTGATAGGTCCCCCAGCTCATAGCAAAAATTCTTGTTGTTAGTCTCTAAGTACACGACCTTATACTTTGCCCTATTAAATATCATCCCATTTCTATCACTCCAGTTTACAAGGTCATCCAGATCTTCTTGTACGATATTCTGATCCTCCTCGGTATTGGCAATACCTCCCAACTTTGTGTCCTCTGCATATTTTATTAGCACGCGCCCACTTTTTATGCCAAGGTCAGTAAAAAAAGTTTAAGATTGGTCCCAAGACTAATCCCTGAAGAACTCCGCTGGTAAATGCCCTCTAGCCTGACAATTCACCTTTCAGTATGACCTGTTGTAGTCTTCCCTTTAACCAGTTCCTTATCCACCTTTCAGTTCTCATATTAATCCCCTTCCTATCCAATTTAACTAATTAATTGCTCACGTGGAACTGCATCAAACACTTTACTGAAATCCAGGTAGATTAGATCTACTGCATTTCTTTTGTCTAAAAAATCAGTTCTCTTTCCAAGGAAAGATATGAGTAACTTTGTAACTGCCTCTGGGATACAACAACTGAAATAATTGTAGAAAAATCTCCAATTACTTTCTATCATTTAGGTGACTTTTCCCAGTCCACCAAACTTGGAACAGATCATTTAACTTTAGGAAACATCCTACCAGTCCTTTCTTCTCTTAATCACCGTGTTTTATAAACAAAATTCTGACTCCTAGACCCTGCCTCAGGGCTCAAGCTGGGAGCAGCTCATCTGTCTCCTCTGCAGAATTCATTGCATTGCACACTCAGGATGCCTGCCTGAGGCTTGCAGTTTGGGGGGGGGGGGAAAGAAAGCCCTCCATGACCCCCCCCCCAAACTCCGCCTGTGGCTGCTGTGCTCATGTTTGCGCCGAGTCTTATGCTTTCAGGCTTTACTGGGAGTTCAGTGCCTAGATGCTTAGCTGGATGGATAGAGGAGTGTGTGTGGAGATGGATGGAGAGGGGCTGAATGGAGAGGGGGAGAGGTCTGGGTGGATGTATGGCTCATTGGAGGGGTGTGGATGGAGAGAGAGCTCGAGCGGTATTTATGGAGCTGGCTGGCTGGATAGATCAATGGGTGGATGGGGAGATAGGTGGAGGCTTGGGGATGGGGATAGGGATAGATAGAACTTCTCCGGAGTTTGAGGGGGTCAGGTTGGCTCCTCCTACCCAGCAAGGTGTGCAGGGCCCAGGTTGACAACATAGCTTTATGAGGGGCTCCTAATCAGTGTCAGTCCCCCGTGCCCCCAGCTCAGGACTCTGACCCCCTTTCAGGCACACAGCCCAGGCCTCCCCTCTAACCCTGACCTCTCTTGTCTTCCAGCGGTGCTGAGATGAACAACTGGACGGCCGGGCTGGAGGCGACGGAGGCACCCCTGGGTGCTGCCCGCGGGGAGTGTGAGCTGAGTGACCCCGTGCAGTTTGTCCTGGTGCCCCTAGTGTACTGCGTGGTGCTCTGCGTGGGGCTGCCTGGCAATCTGGTGGCCCTGCTGGCCTTTCTGCAGAGTGGCCAGGTGAGGAAGGCCATCCGCATCTACCTCATCAACCTCACTCTGGCCGACATCCTCTTCAACCTCACCCTGCCCCTCTGGATCCCCTACTACTTGGCCGGGGGGCACTGGGTCCTCTCAGATGCCACCTGCCGTCTGGCCGGGGCTGCTTACTACATAGCCACCTACAGTGCCATTGCCTTCATGACCCTCATCAGCTTCGATCGCTACTGCACCGTCCGCGTGGCCAGGCTGGACCTGGCTCTGAACCGGCGCCACGGGGCCATGGCAGCTTGCGTGACGGTCTGGCTGCTGTGTTTGGGCTGCGCCATCCCCTCCCTGGCAGCCCAGCAGACCTGGGCGGGCTCTCGGGGCACCAAGTGCTTTGAGCAGTCTGCAGGGCACAGGAACTATGCCTATGCCATGGTGGGCTTCTTCATGGCCTCCTTCCTGGTGGTGCTGGGCGCGTACGCCTCCATCATGAGGTCGCTCTCGGCCACTGCCTCCCACGGTAGCCACCGCCGGCTGGCCCGGGCCATGGTGCTGGGCATGCTGTTGGTGTTTGTGGTCTGCGTGGCCCCCTACCACCTCACCCTGGCCCCCTGGGTGGCCAGCCGGACGCAGACCCCCGGCTGCAGCCCACCCTCCACCCTGGACATCCTGCACACCCTGAGTGTGGCCCTGCTGAGCCTCAACAGCTGCATCGATCCGCTGATCTACTGCTTCTCCATCAAGCGCTTCCGGGCTGATCTGTGGATGACTGCGCGCAAGATCGTCCGGTGCCTCCCACTGCCCCCCTCCCCGCTGGAGAGATCCATTCCCAACGTCCGCTCCTCCTCCTTCACCTCCTCCTAGCGTGGCCGCTGGGAGAATGGCTCACGGCTTAGCTCGGCTCCCTCTCCAGGGCACTGGTCCACCATAGCGCCAGCCTCCAGTGTCTTGGCCTCATTGTGAGAATCTTGAACTTGCCCCTGGGGCTCTTCCAGTTGGGTGGGGGGGGTCACCTGGTAACAGCATCTCCCTGGCCTGATTGGAGGGTGACCAAGTGTCCGATGTGAGCTGGGGATCCGCTCCCTGCCAGTGTGCCCCGTGGCAGGAGGTTGGCAGGAACGGCTTTGCTGACGAGTCTGAGTCAACCTGCCCGGATGCACCCGGCCCACCTGGATCTCACTCTCTGCCACCCCTCAGGCAGTCCAGCCCCCAGTGCTCCTCTGGGACATGGGCCTCCGTGGGGCTTCGGCTGGATCTGAAGATTCGAGGGACGTGGCGGTGGCAGGTCTCTCTCCTCAGCAGTGCTGGCCTTGTTGCCTTCATGTTGCTGCCGGAGAGAGAGGCTTCTCCTGGGCTGCTCCTGCCTGTTTTGGAACCCCTTCTTTGCTCAGCACGGGTACGGAGCTGCCCCATCCCTGCCTTCCTGCTCCTCTGGCGCGTTAAACCCCCCTTGGGCAGATGTCCCCTACCGTCGCTGCTCAGGGCATGTCACTCACCCATCAGCCCCCTCAGAGCGTCTCCAACCTCTTGGCTGCATTGTGGGGACTTGAGCGCTAGCAGTAATTAGCTCCTGGCCCTCCTGATGGGGATGTGCCCTGGAGGGTTACGACAGGCTGTTAGTTGGTGGGAGGGATGCGTGGCTTTGTACCTGGTGTAACGCCCATGGCCAGGACAGAGGGTCCCGCCTGCTTGGAGACAAGGCTGCTTGGAAACGGGCCATGTGAATTTGTGCATAAACTGCGTTTTCTCTTCAAAGTGCTTTTCCTTGTCTCCTAGCTCGGCGTAGCCGGAACGGAGCCCTGCAGCCGGCCCCCAGCAGGGACGGGTCGTCTGGCTGGGGTCTGCTCTCCCCAAGGGCCCGTTGATATGGGGTCTGTCATAGGGTGACACTGGCCTTTTAAGAGGGAAGAGGCCTGTGCACCTGTGACTGGGCACTTGACCCTCACTTAGGCTTAATTAGGGCCCTAGGGGATCAGAGCTGCCTGGGGCAAGCAAGGGAAGGTGCAGTTGAGAGCTGCTGGGAGAGTCGGGGTGCTTCAGGCCCCCTGGAGCAGGGAAGGGTTGTGCAGAGACCAGCAGGAGCCTGGCCACTGGCCTTCCTGAGCTGGAGAGCCAGTTCTGGGGGGCTGAGGGGGTTCTGAGCTGGGGGGCTGTGGTCAGGTCGAAGAGCCGTGAGGTCAAGTGGCTGGCCGGGCAAGTGGGGGCCTGCACTGAGGGTGGAAAGGCACTGGGGACCGAGTGCTGCTGGGCTCCCGGGTGGGTGACCTGGAAGTGATGTTGCTGGGAAGGGGAGTGGAAAACCAGCATGCATTGGTGTGTTTTACTAGGGGAACTGGGAGAAGGGTTTTTCCCATGAAGGGTCCATGGACTAGTGCACGTGTACATGAATAAATTCTGCCCAGAGGTGGCATCATTTGTATCAGACAGTGAGAGAGACTGTGCTCTTTTTTTGTGGCTGGGCTGAGGGGAAACTGAGGCACATGCACCTCAGGTTGGGTGCCTTATTACAGGGTCACTGTAAGGTCCCTCCCAATGCATCTTCCCCCAGCAAAAACCCAGACAGCTAGTGCCAGGGGCCCTGTGGGGCACTGTCGTATGCGTTCCTCTGTGGTGATTGGGGACAGCTATCTGTAGGGCACTCTCTAGTAACAGTTTCCCAGACTAATGGGAAGGGGGCACAGCTGCTCCAGGGGGGCAGATCCATAATCATGAGGGGGCAGTGACCTGGGGGTTTGCTGTACTGATGGGGAGGTGCTTACTCGTTGGGGAGACTTTAGTAGCAGCAGTGGGGAAGGTTATCCAGGGCAGGGCACTGGGAAATAGCAATGCCCCCTCTAAGTATAACGCCCCCTCGATGTATGGATGGCTACTAACTGGCTCTGCGTCTGCACACGTGTCTAATAATTGCTGGGTGTTTGACCCCCAACCCCATGATTATTTTATACTAAATGAGGCTATTTGGGAACTTAATTTCACACCCCAGCCCCCATGCGGCGAGCCCCCCTGAGCAGCAGGGTCTCCCCAGCCCCAGGCTTCTGCCTGGCGCAGTGAGCCTTGGAACCTCCCAATGTCCTGTCCCGTCCGCACCGGGTGCATGTTAAAGATCCTTGTGGCGCATCTCGTAAGAGCAGGCAGGGCTGCCCCAGAGTCCTTGCCGGGGTTTCCCTCCCCCGGGGCGTGCAGTGTTGCTGTATGCCTGGCTGCTGCCCTCTGCCCCAGAGGTAGCCACATTTCAGTGCGTGGCGCGTGCAGGCGGTTGGTGAGCTGCTTTGGGAGCCTTGGGGATGAAAGGGGGCCAAGGGCTCTGCTTGGTGTTAGCGGGGCGAACACATGGTGCCGTTGGGAAGTCAGTGCCACCTGCGGTGGGTCCTAGAGGCTCTTGCAGGGGAGCAGAGGGATGGAGCCAGGGTTCACCGGTCCCCAGGGGCTGCAGGCGCTGAGATAGCACATTGCGCTATCGTCTGTCACCCTGCAGCGCCGCTGGCATGTGTGGGGCTGGCTCTGGCTCGGGGCTGCCCGGATAATTGCTGGCAGGACTGACAGCACCTACCGTGAGCTTCATTTCTGTGGCCTGTTCGGCCGGGCCCTGCTGCCAGGCACTCCGGCTTCGCAGCCCATCCCGTCCTGCCAACCCCCCTCGTTTGAGTGACGACAAGCCCAGGCCCACACCAGGCATCTCCAGAGCTGCAGTTCCCAGCGGGGTCCTGGCTTGCCCCACCTGGGAGCAGGTGGCCTCTGGGGTGTGGCTCTCTTGAGCGACTGAGCTTGTGCCCGCTGGCGAGGGAGCGTCGTGCTGCTGACGAGAGGTTCGGAGGTTTCTGCTCTTGCCCGTGGACAGCCAGTGTCTGCCTTGAGTTCTGGGTAGGCAGCTGCTGCCCACTGGGTGCTGCTTGCTGGGATGCTGGGCAGAGATGGGCCTCGAGTCTGTTGTAGCTGAACTAGGGGCATTTTGGTCACTGGTGTGTTTCAGAGCAAAACTAGTAGCCAGCCCGGCTGTGTCAGGGAGGAGGCAGCTTGTGTGAGCGGCAGGCAGGAGAGACGCTGCAGCCCCATGAGCTGGGCTGGGTAGGCATCATACAATCAGCGGAATGAAGGACAGGGGTTTGTCCAACTTGTTTTAAAAACCTCCAGTGGGGATTCCACCACCTCCCTTGGGAGCCTGTTCCAGAGCTTAACCACCCTTATCATTAGAAAGCGTTTCCAGCTATCGAATCCCAAATCTCCTTTGCTGCAGATTAAGCCCATTCCTTCTCGTCCTACCTTCCGGGGACAGGGAGAACAACTGAGCCCTCTCCTCTGGAACCCTTCACGTATCTGAAGGCTGTGATCAGCTCCCGGCCAAGCCCAGAGGTGCCCAGGTTTTTTAACCTTTCCTCAGAGGTCAGGTTTTCCAAACCTTTTAATCATTTTTGTTGCTCTCCTCTGGACTCCCCGATTTGTCCCCATCTTTCCTAAAGTGTGCTGCCCAGAACTGGACCCAGTCCTCCAGCTGCGGCCTCGTAGTCCTGAGTAGAGCAGGACAACTACCCCCCATGTGTTACGTCTGACACTCCCGTGAACACACCCCAGAATGACAGTAACCTTGTTTGCAACTGCATCACACTGTAAACTCATATTCCGTTTGTGAACCACTAGAACCCCCAGATCCTTTCCAGCACTACTGCCACCTAACTAGCGAGTCCCCTTTTTGTAGCTGGGTATTTGATTTCTTTCCCTTCCTAAGTGAAGTACTTTGCACTTGTCTTTATTGAACTTCATCTTGTTGATTTCAGACCAGTTCTCCAATTTGTCAGGGTTGTTTTGAATTCTAATCCTGTCCTCCAAAGTGCTTGCAGCCCCTCCCTGCTTAGTGTCATCTGCAGATTTTATGAGGGTGTGTATCTGTGCTTTTGCATGTGTTCCTATCTGGGTGTGCGGGTGTGGTTAGTGTGAATTTGCACGATTGTGTGTGCAATGTGCATGTGTCTATTGTGTGCAATTGCGTATGCAAGCTTCTCTATGATGCATATAATTGCGCACACATGTCCCTGTGCGTCTAGGATCTGTGCTGTGCATGGGCGTGTTCCTGAATTTTGTGCGCATCCCCAGTGTATGTCTATGCTGGGTACATTTGCACAATCACGCATGCATAGATTGTAAAGCCCAAAGGGAGCACTGTGATCCTCTCTTCTACCCTCCTGTCTGATGCAGATGCAGACCCAGACCCAGACCTGCATTAATTCCTGGTGGAACTAACACAGATCTTTTAGAAAAATCATCCCGTCCTGCTTTACAAGTTGCCCATTATGGAGATTCCACCACAAGTCTTGGAAGTTGTTCCAATGGGGAATGACCCTTGCCTTCTTTCCACTCTGAATTTGTTCTAGCTTCAACTTCCAGCCGTTGGGTCTGTGTGTGTATGTGTCTTTTGATGTGCCTAGTTGCATACGTGTGTGTCTTCATGCACATCTATGCTGTGTGCAACTGCCCAGGGGTGTGTGTGTCTTGCTGAGTGCAATCAAATGGGCCCCTGTGTGTGTGTATCTGCATTCACATGTGCGTGAGAGTCAGAGCTGTGGTTTCTTTGCCGAAGAGCTGACTGTTAGAATCTGTTCCTCCCGGTCTGAATGGAGCTGCTTGTCATGCAAACATTTCAGCTTCCTTCGCTCCCACACTGAGTCACAGCTGTCTAACAAGGTCCGGATGCACTAACCTGCCCCTGTGAATGAGCTTGTTTACCGCCCTGAGAGCAGGCTGCGACTCTGCTATGCTCTGGGGGTTGGCACGGCCCCTGTGGAGGTTCCCGTGGTGATATCACGGGCTGGTGATGTGTGGGCAGCCTGGGGACCTGGACCCTGCAGTAGGGTGCCTAGATAGCAAGTGTGAAAAATCAGGACGGGGGTGGGGGGTAATAGGTGCCTATATCAGACAAAGCCCCAAATATCAGGACTGTCCCTATGAAATCAGCACCTCTGGTCACTCTCCCCTGCAGCCCCAACTTGGAATCTGTTTAACCCTAAGCCTTGGCACCTACTCCAATGAAGAAATGCCAGTCCCCACCCTAGGGCGTACGGTCCCTGTGGGGCACTACAAATGTGCCTAAGCATCTCCCACTCCCGCCAGGGCTCCAGCAGGGGCTGAGGCTGGGGGCATTGTTTGCAGAGCCCCCAGATGAGAGGACACCTGCACCATGACCCCCTGTGCTGAGCTAGGAGAGGCCCTGCTGGGCCATGCAGTCCCCCGCTGTGCCATGCCTGAGACACCTGATTCCACTGGGCGGGGTGCAGCGGGAGGGAGAGACCCCTTTCAGAGGCATGAAGGAGGGGAATCTTCTCTGCCCTGCCTGCTCCTGTGCGGGTACCTCTGGCTGCCAGGAGGGGGAGTGCTGGTGCAGGGCAGCAGGTGCAGACCCACTGAGCTGAGTGAGTCATGGGACTTGGTGCAGAGTAGCAGCCTTGTTAGTCTGTATCTGCAAAAAGAAAAGGAGGACTTGTGGCACCTTAGAGACTTGGTGCAGAGTTGGTGGGGGTGGGGGTGCGGGGGATGGAAGAGGGGGAGACAAGCTGCTGGAGAAGCCAAGCTTCTGGGGGAAGAACAACAGAATCCCTCCCGCCTCCATCATTCAGGCTGTCGCCTCTGGAGAGGTTAGCACTGGCTGGGGCAGAGGGTGGGGGGCCGGGAGCAGTGGAAGGATGCCAGTTCCCACTTACTTGCTCAGAGATCCCCTAGGAAGGGCAGCGTCTCTTTAGGAGGCTCAGCTCCCTTCTGTAGCCACCTGTGGCAGTCCCTGCGGCAGGGGAAACAATCCTGGCTCTGCACAGAAATAAGACGCCCCAACATTGGGCAACCACCTGCAGTCTGACTCATGCCAGTCTGGTGTTTTTCCTTAAAGCCCCAGCTCCCGGAGTCACGTGAGCATCTCAGCATTCAAAGTTTCTAGCCCGGTTGATTGTAGAGAAGCTTGAGAAAAGGCTCAGACACCAGAAGGCAAAGCACCCCACATGGATTGTGAGTCCTTTAAAACTCCTGCTGCCGGGGGGCCTGGTTTCTGGCCGCGTGCGGCTGGCAGTGCTGTGGGAGAGGTGACCTTGAGCCCCGGAGAACACAGGCAGTGAGCGGCTCGCAGAGAGGACTGTTATACACCTGTGCTCCCCCAGAGGGCAGCAGCTCACACGCGTAGACAGGTCTAGAGATCCATTCATAAATAACGCACGAGGCGCGGCTGCTCCCCAGGTGACGGAGCTGCACAGCAAGGGGAGCCAACCGAGGTGCGTGGCCAGGGTGCCAGCCCCCTGCTGCTGGAGCTGGCGGCCACCACCGTCCTCAGCCAACACCAGCCCCACCTACGCTCGTGTCACGCCTGCCCCTGCCCAGCTGCATCAGCCCAGCCAGGAGGGGGTGCTGCCCCCCGCTCACGGCTCCTG